TCGCGATCTTGAACAAGTCAAAATCTTCGACGCGGATCTGAAAAAGGTTCATCAGTATGAGCGAAAGCAATTTTACGAAAATCTCGATCGGATCGACCGCGAGCGTGAAGCAGTCCACACAGCTGCCCTTGATCAGGCCGCCGCCTTCCACGACCGCGTCCGCGAGGAAGCGGAGACAACTTTAAAGGTTCATCTCCTCGCCGAAGAGGAGGAGCGCCTGCGGAAGGAAGAATCCATTCGCAAAGAAAAGGAACGACTTGAACGTGAAAAGGCTGAAAAGGTACGCCGCGAACGAGAAGCAGCTGCACGCGCTGAGGCCGAACGCCAAGCCAAAGAGCAGGCCGAGAAGAAGGCCCAGGAGGAGGCGGCTAAGAAAGCTGCTGCGCTTGAAACCGCACGCAAAGCTGCGATCGAGGAGAAGCTTCGCAAGGAACGCGAGCAGGCCGACGCCCAGAAGCGCAAGGAGGATGAGGAGGCTCGAAAAGTGCAGGAAGAGGCCGACGAAAAGGCCCGCAGCCAACAACAGCAGAAACTTGGTGCTGGGAACCTTTCGGCTGAGGATATCCAAGAACAGCAACGTTACGTTCAACTACACAAGACTCTCAAGGAAATGCGCAAATGGCTCAAGGACATTGGCCAATCCCAGCCCGACCTCAAGGCGACCATGGGCAATTTACGACGCTCAATCAAGAAGTCTGTTGGCCAGCTTCGAGCCGGAACCGGTGCGAATAAACAGCAGGTACGAAATCAAGCCCCCGTTCAATGGATGTGATTCTTTGAATGCTAATTTTGAAAATCAAACTTAGATTGTTCAACTCAAAGGTGAACTCGAAAAGGCACTTGCCTACCCAGAGCCAACAGTCGACATTCGAAATTTCATTGCATTCCCACCTGAGGAGATTGCAAAGTCGGAGAACAAGGTGCCGGCAATGCTCATCTACGGATTGAACATTCTTGCAAAGAGCTTGATATCCTCTCTTTTGGCTGAAGCGTCCATCAAACAATCCCACGCTGAGCCGATCGGCATCATTGCTGCACAGATTTTCTCCTTTGATATGTTCACGTACAAAGGTATACACATGTCCGACATCATGTGGGCTAAGTACCGTGTTGTTTGTCCTGCTCTGTGGGGATTCACAGGCAATGACAAGACCGAGGGTGGACGTCGTGTCCTGGGTTGGTGGCGTTCCGCAGACACTGGTTCATGGGTCTCTGAACAAGTTCACATGGACCGCATGACCGCACTCGGTGCGGGATATGCTGCTATGACTCTTCGTAACTTTGCGAAGTCCCCACGTCGCAACCCGTTCCCCAACACCATGTTTTGGGTTTCTATCCACAAAATTCTGGCCATTCCGCCCGCGGAGTTGCAGGAGACCCAGATTGCTCTTCTGGCAGCCCTCTTCCGGTCGTCGGGCGAACGCATTATCGGATTCTTCGGCCAGTACGGGCTCGCGCTGATGCACCATGTCATCGTCGAACTGCCCCGCAAGCTTGGGCGGGAGACAATGGCTGTGACACAGCTGAGCACTCTCAAGGAGCTGTACTTGAAAGAGAAGAATTTCGCGTTGTGATTTGGACTGGCAGGCGTTTTACGGGTAGGGAAGGATTCGAACCTTCAGGATCACTTAGGTAGCCCCAGCAAGGATGGCTGGAGGCAATACAAAACATACGGCGTTTTTCTCTCTTTTTTTTTTATCTAGACCGGCGATCATCGCCGGATATCATCATACCCTCTATGAATCATGTCAGAAACACTTTGTATGATAGAGCTTGTTACTATGTATGTAACAACAGCTGAAATCCTACAGCCAATGTCAGCACACTGTGAAAAACGCCCCCCCTGGTGAGTCTGGCTACAATAGAACGTTGGTTGCATTTACATTCCTGCGTGGGCTCGGCTAACCCCAGACTCCCAAGCCACAGAGCCACAGCCATGCATTGAACATTCTGACAAGCCCCCACTCACATACCTCGTGGCTCAGTACACAACCACCACCTAAGTCCTAATTCTGACCAACACATTGTAGAACCAAACGCCTGTATATTGGAGCGTTTCCATCCTCGGATTTTCAGTTCCCTCAAAAGGAACCAAACCCGCCCCTTGCTCATCCCACCCCTGCCATTCATGCATGAATCTACGCACCTCATTCGTTCGCCACTCATCCACATTTCCGAATGCTGTTTCCACTAGTGCGGCTTGACCAGGCGGGAAACTGACCGTCAATACTGTTATTTAACCGGAACTAACTGGGTATCCATCTAGATTTGGAGCTGAAGCTGGGCCGGGAAATGCCGGCTACCAGATTTGGGGTTCCGGGGAAATATTAGGTCTTGGGGAGAAGGAAGATTTCTTTCAAGGTATGTATGGATATCGATGGTGATAATGAGGATTCGAGGTGAGTACTGGCTAGATATTTTATGCATACCTTTTTACGTGTGTTCTTGTTTGAGATGAGTATTTGGACTCTTGAATGTTTTAACTCGGCTGTTATACTGCAAAGAAAGCTAGATATGTACTCCTCTACTATGTAGCTGAAACAAGTCTCCATTGTATGGAAAGTAACCCAACTTCCCAGTGACGTTGTAATTGCTCCAGACGTTGTGTGGTTCAGGATGGCAAGCGGTGATATGGGGCCACCCTTGGCTGCCATTGACCAATCCACAACGAGATCCAACTCTGCAATGTTGTAAACTTGGATTCTGACTGGAACATGCATCTCTGCCTTGACCATGGTGATTAGCTAATTGTGAAACCTGCAGGTGGTATGAGCTATCTCAAGTACATTTTGGCTGCAAGGGACAAAATTTGGAGTGGACGGGCTAGACCAGTGCATCATGCCCAAAGGCAGTTGTGGAGAGAGAGGCCCGGCTAGATTCTAGTGAACCCATAGGAAATTCCAGTTCCAAAGGTATCTCTCAGTGGTTCTCTTCTCAGAGGCAATGAGGATCGGCGAGGTGGGCGGTGTGGGCCAAACCACAATTACAATGTGGTTCCTTGCCATCCGATCGATTCTGGATTTCCCCAATTCTCTCCACATGGGGGCGGTTTTCCAGAAATCAGTTGGGCATCTGGAATTCTGGGCTGGGCGTTGTCAAGGTGACATCACGACTCATGCGGCTATATCGAAGATATTAAGGATATTAAGATGGGCATTGGATACAACTCAATGGAATGCGCGTTGAAGGAATTATGAAATCGAAAGATTATCTAGGTAAGGATATAGGTAGGACAGTCGGATCATAGATAGTCACGGTCATAGAAGCCTACAACAGAGGTAAAGGGGAATTGTTTCATCCACGGGCCCAAGAATAGTCTTTGTTTACTCTGATTGGTTCCCGGGTGCACCCCTATAACCTCCAGTGGGGAACTCTCCACAAGACAAAGCCAGACCCTGTCAGGGCCTAAACCCTCAATTTCCCCCCGTTCCCGGTCCTCTGGGTCTTTCTTCTTGGTCCCTGACGTACCTTCATTTTCCCTTTATAACCCTTACACTCTTTTTCTTCTTTTGTCACTCTTTGGTCGAATCTCTCGTTTTCATCGACCTCATCTTTCATAATGCGTACCTCTGGTCTTATTTCCCTTCTGCTGGCCGCTGCCCCGGCTCTGGTCTCTGCTAAGGGTACTCTCGGTTTCTCCCTCGGTGACAAGAACGCCGACGGTACCTGCAAGTCCACCAGCGACTATGAGGCCGATTTCGATGCCCTGAAGGGCCTCTCTACTCTCGTCCGTACCTATTCCGGCACTGAGTGTAAGACTCCTCAGAACATTCTGCCTGCTGCCAAAAACAAGGGCTTCAAGGTCGTTCTCGGCATGTGGTAAGTTTCTAGTTCTTCCCCTCGCCCCTAAGTGGAACTATTTTTAACCAAACTTTTCCTTTTTTAGGGTTGGCAAGCCTACCGACACTAAGAACCTGTTGGAGGAGCCTTCCTTCAAGGGAGATTGGGCTGCCATTCAGAAGGCCATCCCCGGTTACGAGGACGTCATTCACGCCATCACCGTCGGATCCGAGACTCTCTACCGTGGTGACTTGACTGGTCCTCAGCTCCACACTTATATCAGCCACGTTATGGATAATGTGCCCAAGGGTGTTCTTGTTGGCACCGCCGAGAGCTGGAACAAGCTCGCTGACGGCACCGGTGACGCCCTGTTCACCCAGGAGCCCGTTGTGAAATATGTGTAAGTGGGGGATAAACAAGGACAATGGGAACATTGCGCGCCAATACTGACCTACTTCATAGCTTGGCCAACGCCTTTGCTTACTGGCAGGGTACTTCCGCCGACGAGGCCCACAAGACCTACTTCGATGACATGGCTGGCGCCATGGAGCACATTCAGAAGATTGCCGGTGACAAGGCCGACCAGATCAACATTGTCACTGGTGAGACCGGCTGGCCCACCGATGGTGGTTCTGACTACGAGGCTGCCAAGGCCGGTACCAAGAACGCCGAGAAGTTCTGGAAGACCGGTATCTGTGGTATGCTCAACTGGGGTGTTGACCTCTTCTACTTCGAGGCCTTCGATGAGTCCTGGAAGCCCGATACCAAGGGTGATAACGGCGAGATGAAGGATGAGCAGCACTGGGGTCTGTTCACCGCGGACCGCAAGATCAAGTTCGATACATCTTGCCCCAAATAGACCATGTGTGACTATTTGTTCGCTTCATCTGAGTGTCTTTGCTTTGATGGCTTGCCCGCAACTAAGCGGTTTCTTTTTCAGATTGTATTCATTTATCCCGGGGATTTTCATCTCCTACTCCAATGGAAATATGGTTTAATTGGCTCTGGCTGTATAACTAGATAACAACATGGACATTGCTGCAGCGTTGCGCTGAGTTGAAATTGCACTTACAATACAAAATATAAACTGGGGAGCAGTTGCAGTCTATTATGACTATATAGATAGTGGTAGTATCTAGTAAGGTGTCAGAAGGTTGGTTCCCCAATGCTCTAATTCTGCAGTTTCACTCACAATTCATCAAGTCCACCACCAACCAGAATTACAGGCTATACAGGTCCCTAAACGCTGTTGGCCTATTCAACAACACTTGAGGATGGTCAAATTCTACTAATTGTCCATCACTTAGCACCGCGATCCGATCAAAATCTAGAATACTATCTAGACGATGCGCGATGGAAATAATCGTAGCTCCTTCAAACTCCTGGAGAATCACCTCTTGGATCACTTTATCGGTGGCTAGATCAATGCTGCTAGACACTTCATCCATCACAACAATCTTACCCTTTCGGAGAAGAGCTCTTGCAAGACAGAAAAGCTGTTTCTGTCCTGGCGAAAAGAATTCCGCGTCCAAATCGACACCGAGGCCTCCTTTAGACTCAATGAGCGACCATAGGCGGACTTTGGAAAGTGCATCAATGATCTCTGCATCATTATGCTTCTGCAAAGGGGAGGCATTAAGTCGAATAGTTCCCTTCATTATGAAGGCGTCCTGTGGTATGGCGTTGATTCCAGCACGAACAGTCTGTTTAGGAATCTTCGTTATATCCACGCCGTCGATGAGAATAGAACTTTCCGGTGAAACCTCAAGTAATCGCAGGAGAGTCATAATCAAAGAACTTTTCCCACTACCCGTTTCCGCATACTCCTATTTTCTCGCCGGGCTTGATATCCATGTTGATGTCCTTGAGAATGGGAATGCCAGCCAGGGAATAGGAGGCAGAAACCCCTTTCAAAACAATACCACCCCTGTCCGGCCAGTTTTCTGGAACGGGCTCACGCTCATCCTCGAGATTCTCTGTCGGTGTGGTTGAAGTGAAGGTCTTCAAGCGTGACACGGCGCCAATGGAAGTCTCCAATGCAGTCCATTGCCGAACAATCCATGTCAAGGATGCGCTGAAACTCATAATGTTCAGCAATGCTAAGCTGGCGTATTCCGCTCCCACAGATTGACGGAGCTCAACAATCAGTACCATCAGCAGAATAGCGAGCACTGCCACCATCACATCTAGAACGATGGATAGCCACCGCTGGATGCAGAATAGCAGGTAATACGCCCGCTGGGAGTTATCTAAGGCGCGTAGGTTTTGATTTACAAAATCCTCGGACCATCCAAATGCTCGGATAGTGACCAATCCAGAGAGGGACTCGATGAAGTGCGTGTACAGCGGTGACTTTGCCTCCAGGTCGAGTAGACGCACTTGGCGGGAGGTTCTGAGGTAGAACTTTTGTATGACTATTGATTTTCGACTGTTAGCTCCGGCTATCCCAAATTCTCTTCTATAGAACGAAAGCAGATACTTACCCCACACGATAGCAACCACTGGTGGCAGCGCAAAAGCAAAATAGCCAGTTGCTATACACATCAATATGGCGCCCATTATCGCTTGAATCATAGAAACCACCAAGTCAATAAGCGTAAATGGAAGTTCTTTGTCAACGATTGACATGTCCTGGCTGAAACTGTTCCTGAATGTTAGCGAGTATATATAGCAATGCAAGGTAAACCTCCAGCCTACCGGTTTGTCGTGACGCCTGTATCTGTACTTGTGAAGAAGGACAATGGAGCATCCATTACCGATTTGAGAAGTCCAGCATGTAGTCTTTCGGCACTGCCTGGCACCACGTAGAGGAAGAAGTGGTAAACAGAGACATTCCAAAATATGGCTCCTATTCCTGCTATTATTCCATATAATCCGAGGTACAGCGGACTAACTTCATCCCCACTGGTTGCGTATGCTTTCGTCCACAGAGAAACAACAAGCTCCGTCAGTTTCACAGCGACCCCGGAAAAGCTCACTAAGAACAGTGAGAGGCATGCTCTTGGCCAACCGATCGAAGCAAAGTAATACTTATAGGTAGACCATTCGCCAATAGGTCGATTGAGTTCATCCTGTCCGGCTTTTTTCTTTTGCACTGCACCGCCGTTTGGAGGTTCAATGGATATTTCCTTTGCGGAGATACGAGTCCCATCGGAATCTGATTCATACTTGTGCCTTTTCTCCAGGCTTTCCACATACCCTCCAGCGCCCCGGAGCTTATCAAGCGAGCCCTGTTCGGCGATGCCTCCAGTAGCATCCAAAGCAATAATATAGTCAGCATAGTGGAGGCGATGAACGGCATTGGTGACGAGAAGAACTGTTGCCTCCAGTTGTCTAAGCAAACCAGTCTTGCCAAATAGTCTTGTGAACACAATTTCCTCTGTCTCGGGATCTAGTCCAGAAAAGCCATCGTCGATAATCATCAGCTCAGATTTGGCATATAGCATCCGGGCCAGAGCCACGCGCTGCTTCTGCCCGCCACTAAGTGAGATTCCTCCACTTCCCACGATAGTATCTTTTAGTGATTGATTAGTTGTTATCATCTTTGCATTGAGTTATGCCACTGCATTGAGGTAGACATACCATGTGAGTCTGGCATCATTGCAATATCATGATCTAGGGCACATGTGACGACCACTTCCTCGTACCAGTCAACATTCAATAGCGAGGGCCCTATAATGTTCTGTCGGATTGTTGTGTTTTGAATCCATGGCTTCTGGTCTGCAAATGCACTGGTACAGGAGTCACGGTGCACTGTGCCCTGGGAGACTGGTGTCTCGCTCATGAGGCCCTTCAACAAGGTGCTTTTACCACACCCGACTGGTCCAATAATGAAAACAAAGCCTTTCCGCGCCATGGAGAAACTGACATCTGTGATTATAGGGGTGTCTGCAGTCCATGCAAATCCTGCGTTTTGCACTTTAATGAGAGTAGGGCTGGGATCACGCTGTTTCCGGGAATACAGTTTCACATTCACTAGATTTTCCTGGTTACTGTCTTGGGAGAGAAAAGTTGTGATGTCTTGTTCGGTATTTTTCACACCTTGTCCACTGGCCTTGAAGGATTCTTCCAGCGGTATGAATATCAATTTGCGGGATGGGGACTTTAAAAATTTCTCGATCCTGTCAAAACAAGCGAATGCGGCTTTGAGTGTTGGAATTGTTCTTAGCATAGTATTTACCGGGTTCGATAACATGCCAACCAGAGAAAGACCAGTGAAAGCAGTGGCAGAGGTGAAGTTCAACTTCTCGTGGTCCTGGATAAGGGCAAATACCAAGAATGTAACGAAAGGAGCTAGCACTCTCATGTTATTTGCTGGAGAAGAGTTAGGACAGATGATTCCAAGTATATTGTGTTGTACACATACTAAAGAACACGCTAGCCGACAAAAGACGTCTGAATAAGGTCGACATTTTCAATTCCGTGACGCGGAGATTCTGAACTGTTTCAAAAACAATCGGTGTAAAACCGAGCATCTTCACAGCCTAGCGATGTCTCCGTTATTCTCCCAACCCAAAGCCACACCCATAACGCACTACTCACCTTCATTGACCCAAGCATTGTGGCTGTGACATCGATACGTGTCTGTATACCTTCGTTCCACCGTTTCTGTGCTTTGCCGATATAACTCGAGATCTGTATGATGCACAGCGTTGACACAATTGCGACAACGGCGGGTCCTAGGAAGGATAATCCCAGTTCTCGATACAGTAACCACATGGCGATACCCAGTTCAAGTGGAACTGCCCAAATTTCATGGAGGTTTTGGAAGCCTCCGCATATTGTTTCTAGAGACAGCGCACGGGAAAAAAATGAGTTATGTTTCAAATAGCCCACAACAGACAATAAGAAAAGCTCACCGGTATCATTTGACATTAAGGTCATAGCTGCCGACTCGTCGAGGGATATAATGCTTAGATCCAGCGTTTTTGCGCAAATCATACTCACCAACGTACCGCGGACGACAGTAGTAAATCGAAAGGTCATGTGCGTATATACACCATTGGTAATCGCTGTTCCTAGGAACACGATGCCAAATGCTCCAGTCAAACCCCAGCCGATACTCTTCGCGTCAGTCTGGGAGGTGACAAAGTGCGCTGTCCGGGAAAGAAGAAATGGCTGGGTATATCGAAAGGCAATCAGGCAGATACGAGGAAAGACACAGAGGACCAGCTGGCGACGCGTTACGTTCAATGTCAACCAGAACAACGCATGAGAGCGAGATTTGTTGGTTTGGGTCCATTTTTCTTCGGCCCGTCGACAAAGCACAGTTGATTTCATCTCTTCTTCGACCGGGAATAAGTCATCTGTGTGGATAATCCGTCGAAACCCAATCGTCAACAGAGCGTTCAGCCACCAGAAAAGTGCTCGGCTATAGATCCCACTGGTCACCTCCGGGTGAACGTCCTGGTACGGCTCTAAGAGGATATTTCGCTTTTCGATTGCTTCCATTATTGTAAGGGCAAGCTTCACTGCTACTGTTACTGTAAACACGGCTGCAATGTGCAGGGGGGCACCTTGCATCCATAGTGTCCTTGTGTGTGCAATATCGAACAAAAAGGTGATCATTAGATAGGTATTGATGAGTGAAGATGGACGAACAGAGCGAACATGCTCAATGTGAGAAAGCCAGCATAGTCCTAAGGCGTCGGCGAGGACAAGCGCGGTCGCGGCTATTGAGGTTGATGTGCGAACGCCAGAATTTGTTGCATAGAGGATTAAAGCAACAGCTTGGAGAGAAGTAAAAACCACGAGCAGGAACTAATGAGTGATATAGGTCCTTATTAGTGGCTGCGTTGTGGTTGTTGGCTAGAGAGTCAGACCAGCTTGTTGCTCTGTAGAAAGCTACGGGAGACTTTGTGGGATTGTCCGTATAGTGCCCACAATCGAAATGGTATCAAGACTAGCAACAAGGTAGAAGGCAATATAGACAATATTGTATATTCGAATAAGGGACTGAAATCAAACTGATTCGGACTAGGCGCCTGGGGCCCAAAGACGTCGAGGCCAGCCTCAAATAGAGTGGAGTTCGATGCCATTGTGCATTGGAATAGATGTAGGATGCATGCTCGGCGACAAGTCTTTATATTTTTCTCGAGTTATATTGTACCTAAACTTGTCCATTATGACTCAGATGCATGAGCTCAGCTCACTACAGGATTGCAAATTCCTGCCTTCCACTTGCGTGATTTCTACCCTCTTCTCTCCTCTGTGGTTGTAGCGAATTCATTCAGCTGGGAAACAATACAGAAAGGGGTTAAAAGGATAACTCGATAATCCAAGAGAAATATGCATGGATTTTATACATTGAATTTGTTGAGGTACTACATATAGGTAGCATCTTAATTGAAGCGCATAAAGGAGAGGAAAGATACAACCAGAAGGGGTTTAGCCTGGAGGAGTGCGCAACAGGCATTGCCCGACACCCGTAGACAACGCTTGAAACTCTCACCAATCAGCATGAAGACACGAACCCTGGAACCCATTTGTTGCTCGGTAGACGTTGATTGGCGAATGAAGATACAACCCATTAGTCATACTGATAACACGGCCCTCGGGGATGGTACGGTATGGTCGAATCCATGGAAGGCTGTCCTTCTACCCCTGAATCTCTTAGATCTCCAGTTTTCATTGTTTACATTTACACAAGCAAGGGGAAATGTACCCTGAGGGCATGAGTACCCAGTATAAAAATCTATCCTTAACTTTGGACAAGGCAAGGGTCATTTGAATCAGATTCAGTGTCGGGTACATGTGCGTTATGCGTACATATGTAGCATAGCAGTTGACACCGTCAAAAAAAAAAGCCAACAAGACAAGCTAAGCCAACGGCCTCGGTCTACGCTAACCAAATAATAAGCGTTGAATGGACCCCCGGGCCTATGGTACCCTGTACACCGCATTAGCTCGTACTACCCACACTTTAGCAGGTACCCAGTACTCCGTACGACGATCCAATACCCGTGACGTCCGACCTTTTTTTCCCCTTAGTTCCCCATCCTGGTCTTTGATGCTTCAGACTCAAGCGTGCTTCTGATCTCTCTATTCTTTTGATTTCCTTGCAGAGTGCGCCTATTCAGAAAAGAAAATACGACAACCTGCACATTATCTCGCCCCAGGTTGTCTTGCCAGCGGTGATCTTCAATTCCGATTTGATTTCCATGCGTCAACATTCTGGACGATAAGCGGAGCGGCAAGCAAGTGCTTGCTGCAGGAGTCGACACGGAAGGTGTGTGTGTATACATTGGTGTTATTTCTCTTTAAACCTTTCTCGGGGTTGTGGAATTGGGGTCCCTACTTCGCGCCACGCGATTTGGACTTTATTTTTCAACTCCCTTGATTCAATCGCTCTTTTGCCCTTGACCCCTCCAAATATGTCACTCTAACCACGCCGGATGACTACAGATCTAGATCACTCCGTCTCTTCCGCCATCTCGGCGCCTTCTCCACAGTTCCACTCGCGGGACACGCGCCTCCTCCGTGAATCGCGTCTGGCTCCCTCACTACTCTTGTCCTCTCCGCCATCAGGAGACTCGAGTCCGTCGACCGTTGGTTCCCCTGGCCAACGAACCTCTCCGCGGAGCATCACCCTCGAACCCCCGCCTCTCCCATTTTTATCCTCGTATCGCGCAACCGAAGAATCTCGAGCCTCTTCGCCGGTCAACCGCGAGGCGGAAAGCAGCATCTACTACACCACTGCGTGGGGATCCCCATATGCAGCACCCAGCACTCGGAGACTGTCAGTGACCAATAGCCAAATCGAATTCGCTGGTGTCGACCACGGATCTGGTCCCATCTCGCCTGTCTCGTCAGTAGCCAACCACACCGAGTTGCGGAGATCGAGTGCCGCCAACGACGACACCCTTGAACCCGTGGACCGCGATATCCCGGCCCATAACGGAGGTAAATCGATACGGGACTTTACGCAAGATTGGATCAACCAGTACCTTACTGGTCAACCTAGAACAGAGCGCAGTAATTGGCTCAGCGACGACTCAGGAAGTGAAGCACCTTCGTTCATAACTGCGAGGAACCACTTTGCCGACGACGCTTCGGACGACTGGCTCGGTCTGGAAGACGACTTTCGTTCCGACGACCTATTGAAAACTCCAACGCTCTCTGATTTCGTTGGGAAAAAAGCCGCTGCGCGTGCAAAAGTCAACAAAACCTTACACAAACGCGCCGGTACCCTGCGGCAGGAGGATTTTTGGGGTTTTGCTTACGACAAAGATCCACCACAAAACAACATGTCAGACCCAAACACACCCACCGTCGAGGTAAACTCGCCAGTAGAAAAGCCGTTACCTCCTCCGCCCGCAAACGCAACAGAGGATGCTGCAAAGATGGAAGACCCACCCAACCCGGGTCCACTAAAAACACAGGTCTCTGATATCAGCAGATCAGCCACCCAAACACCACGGCGGAGAAAAAAATTGAATTGGCGTGGGAAAGCCTGCATAATCGAGCTACCGCATGATGATAAGAGAGGTTCGGGACCTGGGTATCGTCTCCTAACGCCTGCCGACGTTCATCAGCGAATGCAAGAATGGGAGAACGAAGGGTACGATGTTCGTGGATTCACCATTGGCGATTCCGAGGACCCCTCCATAACGACAACTCTAGGAGGTCTCAGCCGACCCCTATATCCTGACCCATATGACCTCCATGAAATTTCCAAGAGCCAACCGCTTGTCGTCACTTTCCCAGACAGGGCCAAGTGGGAGTCTTATATTACTGAGCTCCAAGAAGAAAAGCTACGCGCTCTTGGGGTGTCATTCGGTGATGATGAGCCCGAACAATCAATATCACCTGATTACTCGCTCAACCCCAGTGGCACACCTTTCCCAGGCCTTGTGGCATCCCCGCCGATCCCTACTGCGTCTGCGGCAAGCAATCCGCTCGGCCATATTCACCCATTCTCGCCCCATTTCAACCAGTCATCAATGCCTACGCCTGGTGCGATGGAATCCATGGCCTCGCCTTCGCAATTCGGTATGCAGACGCCATTCATGGGCGCGGATCAAAATATGATGGGAGGATTCCCCTTCCAATTCCAGCCCACGCCTCCTACCCAGGGATCTATGACTCCCCAAGGATTCATAAACGCCCGGCAGCCAACCACTTCGGCTGGCCCAGGGCCAATGGGCAACTTTTCCTCTATGCTATCGCCGGTTTCTCCGTTGCATGACCAGGGGTCTTTCCACCCCGGGTTCAACGATAAGGGTGTGTTCGATGATCAATATGGCCATGGCATGCACCAGGAAGGTCTGCCATATCAGGCTCCCAAGACCCCAGTTAATGGCCACCCAGATCATTTCCATGCATCGAACATCGAGATTGCCCAGCCTACACCTCGAGGTCACGGTCATAATTTGAGCGAAACTCTGCAAAGAGGACTGGACCAGATGACACATACCGATTACCATCTGGAAAACTCGATCGACCGACAATTGGAGGATGATTACCGTGATGTGAGCGACCACGCAGGCCTGAATGCCAACATGCTGAAGTCGCGCTGGGGATTGCCAGAAAATGAACACCACGCACAGAACCCTTCCCATCACGCACCCCATCCCTTTACCCAGCACCAGCTCCCTCACCAATTTTATGGAGACCAATATCAACAACACAATGGTCTTGATGCTTCTGATCTCGATACGAACCCCAGTGTTGCGGGTACGCCGCAGACTCGCCAAGGGCCGTGGCACGAGACCCAGCCCAGCGGCCACTCCTACCACGCAGGCCATCAGTCGCAGCTCTCGATTTCATCACTCAATGTTGAAGCCAAGGAATTCGACCCTACCGCATCGTTCAATTCCCAGCCTGTGCCGTTCGGCAACGACCCATTCCAGTTCGGTGGCAGGAGCGAGCAAGGACTCGGTTTTGTCCCGCCTCCCTCGTTCGCGCCTGGTAGCAGTATTAATGGCCCAATGGATTCCAAACTGAACCAAAATGCCAATGGTAGCGGCGGATTCAAGTTCTCCGCCGCATCGTTCAATGTTGACGCGCCTGTTTTCAACCCCAACCCCTCGGTCAGCCTCAACTCGAATGCCAGCTCCGTGCAGCCTCCCGCTGGTCAGCCTAAGATCTTCGGCAACATTGATATCAGCGAGATCACCACGCCTGACAAGAAGTCCAAGGCTATTCCTATTGTGCGGCCCGATGAGATCGAACAGGAGAACAATGAAAAAGAGCGGGTCGTTGAAGACGACGCCAACGGTCGACCCGTGCAGCCTACCGACCGCCACAAGCGTGCGCGTCGCGGTGTTGGCCACGCTGAAGGCGAGGCTAGATACAGCATCTCGACCCACCCTCTGGGTGAGGCAGGCAACGCTCAAGCTTCTAACGCGCTCCATGCCGTCGCTGAGGGCAAGGAGAATGCCATGCCCAAAGATAACAATGCGGTAGAGCGGACAGGTACGCCTGTTAGCGAAGCTGACACTTGGACTTTGTTCGATGCGAAGCGCGAGGCTGAGAATGCGTCGCAAACTGGATCACCCGCCCAGGCAGAGACCTCTAAGGATATTGTTGTCGAAGAACGTGAACCAAGGGAGCCCGGTGCAGGAGATGATACGTCTGTCACTGTCTCAAAGGGTGTCGACCACGCTCCTCATGGATCTAAGAGCTCCATCAAGAGCAGTGTGCTGTCCCCTAATGCCCAGCCTTTCGAGTTCAAGCCTGCTGTTGCTCAATTTGTTCCTACGGCGGTTCAACCATCTAGCTTTGCTGAGCCAAAGCTTCTTGAAGCAAATGTCACCGAGGAGCAGCGCATCGGAAACGCTGTCAAGAGTCCCGCTGAAGATAAATCTAAGCAAGCTGGACTCATGGCTTCTCGCTTTGCCGCCACAAGCCCACCTAAGAAGGCAACCTCGCCAGATCAGCCTGAGGCCCAGACTCCAACCCGCGTAGAAACAGAATTCATCACCCGCCAACCTAAGCATTACGATAGCCCGTGGGACTCCGAGGACGACTCACCTGACGACGAGGAGCTGAATGCAGTCATGGAACAGCTAAACGACGACGACGCAGATGTCGGCAT